AGGAGCCAGGAGATCTTCGTGCGGCCGGGGCCCGGGTGGAAGGGCGGCCTGTCCCGCGCGCGGGTGCATTTTCCGGGGCACTTCGACACGTATGATTTTGACGCCCCGACGACGGTCAATGGGCACCGCCCGATGAGCGCCGGGAACACCGGATTGGAGACGCCGGATGAGCCGCAGGAGGTGCTCCATTCATGTCGGAAGGACATGATGCAGCTGTGGGGCGACGAACATGTGCGGGATATTTTGCGCAGACGGAAAATCCGGCTGGAGGAGGGGAGTGGCTTGTGAGTTTCCATTTCTTGCGGATAATTGCTTGACGCGATTCATTTTGTGCTGTGCTAACTTACGTTTCTGGATTTATGAAGTTTTTTGGATGACCTAGAGCGGGTGACGGGATTGAAATACATGCCCTCGGATGACGACGTGCTCAAGGCGCGGCTGAAGACGGTCGGCGTATCGGAGTACAAGTTCGAGATGGAGATCAGTGCGGGGCGGGACAGCGGGACGGAGTGGCGGATCGTCGACGTGGGTGGGAGTCGGAGCCAGCGACGTGGGTACTCCTTTCCTTCATTTCCTCTCAGTTCCCTCTGTATGTGGTTTAGCGTACTGATGGTGTTTGTTGCGTGGGGCGAATAGCGACATGGGCTCCATTTTTCGATGATGGTTAGTGAATTTGTTGCCATTTTCCATTATTATAAACTCACGGCTGTGTTCTGGAACGAATAGTGGACGCGATTATTTTCCTCGCGCCAATATCTGGCTTCGACCAGGTTCTCTCAGAAGATAGGACGGTGAATCGGCTGGTACGTGATGCGCCTCTTGTCGGTAAAATAGATGCTCATCATTGGTGCAGGAAGATTCTGTCCTCCTGTGGAAGGCTGTGTGTTCTTCTAAACTGTTGGCAAACGTCGACCTAGTCCTCTTCCTCAACAAGTGTGATTTGTTGGAGAAGAAGTTGAATTCTGGAATTCGGTTAGTCCCCTTTCTGCCTCCTCTTCCTTTACTCTGCTCCCCCCATCCTTGGGTACCTTGGGAGGGTGTCAAAGTCCAGCCTGGCCTATCTGTGGCCTATTGTTCAGTCAGCTTGTGTATCCCGTGGCATTTTTTTCATACTTCCCTTTCCGCCCTCGCTTTTACCCACTTGTACTACAGCCGCTTTGAAGACCGACGTATTGATGCCATTTTTCTTCCACGCAGATTAGCGAAATATGTCCGCAGTTACGGCGACCGTCCAAACGACCTCGATAGCGTTAGTAAATGTGCGAGACTTTCTCCCAATCACAGCTTTATCATCGCTTCTAACTCATTGGTGGTCGCTTAGATCTTCGGGGGAAGTTCAGCGCGATTCACCGAGAATATTCACCGAACCCAAGGAAATTTTACGCTTTCTGCACGAGCGTTACTGATACAGCCACTACTGCGGGTATTATTGCTAGCGGTAGGTCGTTTTGATGGCTACCTCTATACAATGATTAAAATCTTGACATTCCGCAGTTCGTGACATGGTCATTCGGCAACATTTGAAGCAGTCCAAACTTTTGTGAAAGTTTTCTGCGTTCACACTTTAGTTCGCCCAACGGTGTTTTGCATCGTGGCAATACCATCCTCAATGATTCCCTCTTCATCTTTGGATTCCCAATTTCTAGCGCTAGTCGTGGCAATCTCGCGCGATTCATATCTTGTACCATTTCATATTACGACTACACGACGCCCACGATCCAAAAACTCTGGCTACGACCCTTCCTCTGCACTTATGCGATCGGAAGGCGGTGTAGAACGAACGAAACACGTTTCCTGTTAATCTTGCTGTTCTCGTTTTCTTGTTATCCAAAGGATCTATCCAACTATCCATACCCGCAACCATTCACATTACCCAGATGTACCCCTCATCGACATCCTCATCTCTCACCACCCAGATCTGTCCATGCCGCCAACCCCCTGTACAAAAGGCGCGACTTCATTCGGAGAATACTCCATCATCATAAGGAATCTCTTACACCTGCATTTATCCCCCATCTCTCGCACCGCCTTCAATATGCATTTAGTTTGTCCTTCAAGGACCTTGTATCTATAAAAATGATTGGGAAAAATCATATTTTATCTCTTTCTCAATGTCTCCGAATATGCTTACCTACATTTTGAAGGCTGCGCTACTTCTTTCTTTTGGCTTTTTTGATGGAACTATTAGGGTATTCTGCGGTACAAAAATTGGGATCTGCTTAGGACCCACCTCTCTTTCTTTCACTCTGAATCCCCTGATCCGTTTGTGGACCTTCTTCAACCTCTATTATCATCATCTTCCTCTTCTTTGGCTTCTTCAATTCTTCCCCCCTGCTCGGTCCCTTTTGTCCAGATTTCGATCTGTTGTAAGCTTATCCTTATAGATGTTGGTATCTCTATCAAACCCTCATTTCCGCCCCCTCGTCCTTAAATCACACCCCTTCTTTTTCTTCGGCATTTTCCCCTGGAGCCTGGGTATGTATAATTGGATGTACATATTTCTGTAGCTCTGCAGTTGCGCTTCTCTCTCACACCGCTTGCCACGTTCGATTCAGGTCAGTTCGAGTCCTATTATAACCACAAAATCGTCCTGCCACCTGGACTTGTAGAAATCCACTATCTGGACAGACGCAGGCGTCTGGTGTGGAGATCGAGTCATGCCGACGCGGTAGTACGTTTTCTTTTCTCTACCTAATCGTGACTGGCAGTCTGCGTGAACCGCATGCCACTTAGTCTGTGTAAGCACATGGATGTGGGAATCGAGCGGGGGCCTCGCAGCAGACGGCCGGGCTGGCTTCCCAGACCAAAGCGTCGGTAGGCGAAAAACATCGATGATGACGAGACTTCTTTCTCGCAGATTAGGCGCAGGCACTAATTGAACTCAAAACTCAAATGACGAATTTTCAAAGTCCATGCACCGACGATCGTCCTCCGAGTTTGGAAGCGTCGCGATTGTGGGCGGTATGTCCTATTAGATAGGTTACTCCGCTCCCGTCTCTTTTCGGTATATCCACACGTCCTTTCCCTTCTTCGACGTCGGAGAGACTTGTAGCGAAAAAAAGAACATGCCATCGTGTTCTGATATCGTAAGGTGGTACGAACAGATTTTGAGCGCGCGCATTTCGATTGGGGCTACTGTGAGTCTTATAGTGTCAATGACAACTTGGAACGCTCCTCAAGCTCAAGTGCGATAGTCACGAAGTTCGTTTTTAGGTTTGGGGGAGTCGGGGCTGGAATTATCCCATGCCAAAAGTAAAACCGATTTATAGATGCTTTTGATCATGTTATCAATAGGCAGTTATAAGAGTTGTAATCCTCGATATTTATTGCACGGGCAGAAAATTACTGTCTGCATCACAGTACATATCAAACCTCTTCCTTCTGTCTGGTTCGATATGATACATTCAAAAATAGCCTTTGATGAGGATTGGTCTGCCCTTCTGTATGTCGAACTAAGTATGTCCAATCCGATCTAATATTAAACACTTATTTTGGCGATCGCCTCGTTCCTTTCCGCTGATGCGTTTGAGCATTTAACATACGGAAGTGCAATCCCCGGTCAACCGGATCGCTTATGCTTGTCGTTATATTTTTTTCTTGTCCGAACCCGTTTCACGAACGGCGGCTGCGAGGTTGGACCGACTCGAGCGCCGTTGGAGTTGAAATTAATGAACACAAAGATATTTCTATGCACCCAGTAGCATGCGTTCACGTCTGTTCACGTTCGGAAATGAGTTGCTCACTTTTCTATCCTAGATCGTATCATGTGCAGGAAGAATGTATCGTTGATAAGGATATGTCTGGTAATGACTCAAAAATCCGCCGCGTGGAAGATCTCGCCAACTGTCCTCATCAGGCATGGATAGTCCCTCCTTAATACCGATACCTGAAAGTTAAACTTAGCTTCCAGAGGATTGGCACAGAAGGAACATTGCCATGTGCTTTAAAGGTGCTTTGTGAGCTTAGACCGTGGCGTATCAGAAATTCAATACGATTGCAGCTCGATATATAAAAGTTTGTAGATCTAGTATACGGATAGCGCGCGCTTTCAGGACCAAGGAGACGGATTCATGGGTGCTCGCAAGGAAGGTTCAGTTCGATCGAGCTCACATGCTCAGCAAAGTGATATACTGTGTTTTTTCAGGGAGACAGAAGTTCCAGAGGCGTTATTATACAGCTAATACGCGATAAGATCATGGATCGTAAAGTCATGCGCCGACACTCGCTCCTTCTCATTTCTGGAGGGAACCACTAGATTAATCATGCGATGGGTTTTATCTAACGGAACGAAGGTAAATAAAGGCACTGAACTGTGGATGAGTCTTCGGTGGTTCTATATAGCGCCTTGAGCGCTTGAGCGCTAACTCATCTTGGTGGCTAAGATCAATCAGCTATTTTTAGATTGTCGTACTCTACAGATCGAGGTATCAATTATCAATGTGAGGACATCGGACCCCAGTATAAGGATGACCATAAAGTAGGGTAAAATTAACATAGAAACTCTGGTTTAGTTTTACGCGCGCCCATACGTAATAATATTCGAGTTTTCCAAGAGTAAGTACTTGGAATTTCGAGTAGGGCGTAAAGAACAGCCTATTCTCTGTATTCCTTGAGCCATGTATACTTCATTTGTGTGCTGATTACATTTTATTTCTATGATAAGTACAAAAGACTAGGGGAGATAGTAATGTTACAAGCGATTGGTTTTAACAGTTTTATTGAATCTTATAGCTTGAATATCGTATTCATTACATCTCCTGATTCCTGCGCCAGGTTTGCGCCAGGTATGAATATTGGCACAGCTTTTCCGCTTTAACAATTCCATCATGATAATTTGAGCAAGGAAGCTGATTCCGAGTAACTTATGAACCGGCACATAATGACTACAGTTTGATGATAAGAGAGTGTATTTTGCAGTTGTCCATACCGCAAGTCCATACACTGTTGGAGACGCCGTGCGTATCAGGGCAGACAAAAACACCTACCATCACCCAATCATAGGTTCAATGGTCTAGTGGTCATGATTTCTGTCTCACATTGCATGCGTATGTTCACAGAAGGTCTCCAGTTCGATCCTGGATTGAACCAGGTATTTTGCTTCCGAATCTTCGCATCCATTATCTTGCAATTATCTACCTTTTTTTACTTCACAGTCACTTCTCTTTGAAATACTATTCGTTTGTTCTTTGTCGCATGTTTGCTTTTGCTCAACCTTGTTGTCGCATCCAAGTCGCAACATATGCTAGCCTGTAGAGCAGCGCAGAAGAGGATTAACATGCACGTAGTTTGTGAAATAAAATGAAATGAATCTTAATTTTTGGGCCAGAGAGAGACGCGGAGCTACATAGATCATGTGCTGTGTGACTGTGATTCAGACACTGCCAGCTTGACTGGCTCCAGAATCCAAACCTCCTCCTCAGACCCGTCACTGAGACCAAGGTCAGCCAAGGTCCTAATTTCAGAATACCCAACGTCGAATACGCTGGTCTCGTGTTGTGGATCGGAGTCATCAACTACGCTTCGTCTACCATGTGTTTACAGTGTCACTTACAGTGATGGTCGATCCCGAACCCGCCAGACTCGATGCCTGCTCGACGCTATAGATCGGATTGCTTTGCCCAGGGCCATCAACATGTTGTTCCATCCCTCTAACCATTCAGGAATCGAACCCCGAGAAACCCTCTGTGAAAGGCGGAAGTGACGCAGAATTTCAATCCGACCGAACGGCCCTGACTCTTCCACCTCTCAAGCTTTCATATTCAGGGTTGCTCTGCCCCAACTACTCTGCCCCGATTGAATTAAACCTGCGGGCCTAGACTATTTAATAAGTTGCTCGAAGTTGCTCTCGCACAACTTCCGCCTATACATACTGCTCGCTCCACTGTTCTGCAAACATAGGATTTCATACACTTCATTGGTGAGTTCGCTCTTCTGAGGTTCATCCACTGCTGTCTTACCATTGAAACAGACATTATGGCGGCTTCCATCGATTTACCGCAAGAAACACTCGAAGAAATTATTGATTTCTTATACGACGATCGCCAAACTCTCCTGTCATGCAGTCTCGCCTCCCGAAAGTTCATACCCGTCTGCCGTTTTCACCTCTTCTCAGAGGTCAGCCTTGAATCGGATAAGCTCTGTCGCTTTCTAGAGCTCTTGGACGTCCAATGGAGTAGCTTCGCCAACATGGTTTCCAAAATTGTCGTCTACGGACCGGAGAAACTAAAATCACGACTACGCACAAAAGTCACGAAAGCTACGGCACTACAGCCAGATTACGTCCCGCAGGACAACTCACGCCTCCGCGAGCGTCTGTCTCGTGTCAACACGGTTCGATTTATCGACCTATGTCCTGGGGATATTCCAGTATCATTCTGGCGGCTGTTGGAGGAGATGAAAGCCATCAAAGTGATTGAGGCCCACCGAGTGGCTTTCCGCTGCCCGAACAAATTTTTCGGATATCTCTCATCACTTCCCTTGTTGGAAACACTCTCAATAACTCGACCGAAGATGACCCTAGACTCACGATGGGAACAGCACCTTGGCGACGACCATTTGACAAACCGCCCACCTGGAACTTTGGTGCGCGTACCTTTGCTGGACATTCGGAAATTATCAATCTTGCCGGATGATCCCACCGACGGCGTGAAAGCTGGACAAGTGATCCTCGGATGGTTGCTGGAACAAAACCCCATGCCATTCGTCCATTCGCTCAGGCTTGATATTGACAACAACGATGAGAAGAACACGATGTTGAGGCGATATTTCGATGGAAATGGTTCAACGTTACGAAAATTATGGATTACGTTACCGGCTGACGTCAATGGTGCGTCCCGTCTCATTTCATATTTGCCATTTCATTAACTTGAGGCTTTATGGAAATTTCAGTTTTGCGCATGCCTACGGTTGACTTCCGCTTGCTAAGAGAAGTCCGCTGCTTGCACATCGAGGGACTGCTTAATAGCCACGAATCACACACGGTGGTAGTCGAATCCTTTTTCCGTGGACTTTTTAGCCAACTTTTCTCTTCCTTCATTCAATCTTCCAACACCGATCCATCAAAACCAACACGACCACCGCCTATCGAGAGAATATCCATCTCTCTCAGTCTCGATGAGGTGGGAACATATAGCTTCTACGGCATGCCCGAATATCAAGCCATGGAATATCTAACATGGTGCAAGCTGCCCCGCATTATCGAGGAGGCTCTCGCGCCGTTCCCCGACAAGTTTGACCGCCTGGAAGTGGCCCTGAAGCTCAGGGCCGATATGCCCGACTCACAGAGGGACGAGGGGGATAGGTGCGTGAGAGCTGGGGTATGGAAGCGGTTTTCCGAGAAGGGGAAGCTCCATGTCGAGATCAATGGAGATGATATGAATGAGCGGGTGTGAACGTTTGGGTATTGGATGGCAGGGCGCCTCTCCCTGCTGTTACTTGCCCTTCCGATGGTTTCTGCTTTTTTTTCGCACCGTTCGGCGCTTGGGCGGATATCATTTGTGCGGCATCCCGTTATCCGCACGACTGCTGGCGCTACAGACGCAGGGTTATGCCATCGCGCTGGCTTTGCTCTGCCCTTAACATACACTTGGACTCGTGTTTATGCAATGTTCTATTATCTATCCTTCGTACTATTATCACGGTTGTTCATCATTCCTGCCAATCAAAGCATCTTACACAATAACGGTCAACCACAATGGCTTTGTGTCGATACATAAGTAGGCTATTAGCTACATACACTACTAGTAAACCGTTTATTCTTATTTTCTCTCCTTGGAACCGTAATTTATAGCCTAGTGATATTGCACTTCCTTGTATCAATACATGTACAGCCGATTCTTGCGGAGACTCGTCGCCTCTAGAAGGTGAATCGAGTTTTCATGATGATAAGGTATTTCAAGGGTCAGAATAATACATCACTCGCAACTCGGGCCCTACACAGTATGTAGTTCAGAACGAGGCGCAACCCGTTGAAGGTTCCGAATTTCGAGGATCCCTGCGAGACCTCACTAGGCCGAACTGCCCAGCTGCCCTCACATTGTAGTCGAGAATAGATTATGATTAGATATTGTCCTACGTTGTGCATAATTCAAACCTAATGATAGTCTTCTACCCTCGACGTCATGGCGTAATGCCTGCCCTGGGGCCTGTGGTGGCGTTGCGGCAGGAGGTATGTAGAGGGTAAGTATACTAAGATCTCCATGGGCCACCATCATCATTGCCTTCATTGCCTCCGTGTAGAATCTGTTTCTTTTCTTGGGCTTCACGTACGAGAGAGGAATGGGTCGGTTCGCTTTCTGACTGCATTGATTCTCTGTGCTGAAAGTTATGTTATTACTAAACGAGCCCCGAAACGCGCTGATAGTGCCCCGCCGTTGACTATATTACTAGGCTATAGCCTTTGGCATCAGTGTACTCTGCACGCGTGTCCGTTGATACTCATCGAACCTAAGAGACGTAAATATCATCAGCGTCTGGCTAATTAGCGTCGCTCTCAAGCGTGTTCTTCGACCGTATTCGAGCGGATTTTTAGACGGTGGGAGCTAGATATCTAATTTTCCAACAACAGCGGTTTATGGAGTGTGATCCTGGCTAGCACTTCGTATATATAATGCATGCCAAGCAAGACAAGCTACGCTACTGCTGAAAAGGGCCGTAGTAAATAGAAATATATTACTACCAACTTCAACGGGGATTGGAAAAGATATTAGGAGGATAAATGTGATATGATACACGAAACGACGAGAGGGGAGATGATGGACAGGATTATGGTGCAATGGGATGTGGTACAAGAAATGCGAATGGAGACAGCAAATAGTATATGATGCGGGAGAAATAATGCAGGTGTTCAGGGTGATGGGATGGGAATTCAAAGCATGCAAGAAAGGACAGCAAAAAAAGAATGGGAGAAAAGCAAAGCCAATAGATACAGCTGGGAAGGAGGGGAGAATAGTGGGGGATGGGTCATGATGAGAGGCGAGATATCGCATGTCAAGAATGTTATCTACAGAAAGGGGACACGTTCGTATGGCACAAACCTGACACGAAGTAAGTATACTACCCGAGACGCCGAAAGCGCAGTGTCAATGATATCGAAAACTGTTCTGTTAGGTGAGGTTCAGACGATCATGATATTTTTGGAGAGTTGATGAGGGCCGAAGCTTGAGGCTGAGATGAGGCAATGGAAAACTGAGAACGTTCACATCAAAACAAAGGAAGCTCGAGGATCAGGCCAAGAAAATGAGTTGAGGGTGCACCGATGATGAAAGACTGAGCAAGAGAAATCGAAGTGGAAGGAACCAAGAAGTGAGAAACTGAGTTGAGTGTCTTGAAAATGTTGAACGGTCTTGAATACTTGAATCTTGAGGCGGATCACAATATTTGAGCGTCTAAATCTTGAGCGTGACGAACGCGGCCTTGATGTCCAACTCGCTCACTCGCACTCGCACTCGCACTCATCTCACACACACTAGCCTCACACGCGGAGGCGCTAACCTCATCTCACACAGGTATCGCTTGCGCAGCTCACGCTGCATACGTCTCAGTCATCAGGCCTCAAGAGCTCAATGCTCAGCGCTCATCGGCGGCGGTTAGACGCCGGAACTCATCGCACGGGGATGACGAGCTCGTCGTCGCCTTCGAAGGGCTCGCCGCAATGGATCGTCAGGGTGAGCACGCCGTCTTGCAGAGAGGCGTCGATGTCTTGGAGCTGTTGGTTTGTCGAGGATGTGTTGGACCGAATCGTTGTCGTTGTCGAAATCAGATGTTGCAATCGAATATTTGAATGTTGACGTTGATGGTCGATAGGCGAAGTTCACATTGAGGGTTTTGAAGTCGCACATTTTGCAGCAATAAATGCATTGATCATGAAATAAAGAAAAGGGGAAAAACACAACAGGCCAATCAAAACCTCGCTCACAAACCCAAACAGGAAAGGAGAACAAAAGCAAGGACATGGAAGCGAGCAACATATCTGAAATCAGGGGAGATTCGGGGAGGAGCAAATGGATAGCGGGGAAGGCCAAAAGAACACGACGTACCGTGGTCGTTGCGGGCACCTGGATGACCCGCCGCGAGGTCCCGAACCGCCG